GCTATTAAAATGACAGTGTGCCTTGTGACCCTCCAGTTTCCTATAGAGCCTTTCCCCTTTCCCTCTCTTCCTCCCTCCCTCCCTTCTTTTTTCTCTTAACATCTCAAAGAATTAGATTTCCTTAGAATACTCTTTGGGGGAAGTTTGATGGACTAGGTAAATCCTCAATCCCCACATAATCTGAAGAGTGATAATTATAGAAACAAAACCTAGTGAACAGTTGTTCAACATCCATCATCTAAATCTTTGCTACTCAAACTGTGGTCTGTGGAACAGGCAGTTTGTTAGAAATGCAAATTCTCTGGCCCTGACCCAGACCTCCTGGAAGTGAAAACGTACATTTTGAACAGGAGCCCCTGGGGATCCATGTGCATATTAAAATTGGGGAAGCTCCTGTCTAAAAAAAGTTTGCCTTTTCACTGTAGGGTTAATGCTTTTCTGCTGAGGTCTCCAAGTATGGATGCCCTTCCTGAACAAATGCAGCCTAAGACATGTGACAAGGCCTGTTGCGTGGGAAATGGGTCATCTCTCATCTCAGTGAGGCTTCCTGTTGTGCCAATGAGGCTGCTGGGAGCTCAGACTCAGGATCCCATCGTGGCAGTGCTGGTGGCTGTTGGAAGCCTTGCTAGGCTTTGCTCTGTACTTGTCCCAATTTCAAATCTTATTAGGCCAGGAAGTAGTGCCTGGCAAGTGGTTTATCCTGCTTTGGCTATTCATGCTTCCCAATTCATTTTTATTGTGCTAATTAAACCTCAAGTGATATTTCAAGTACAGATTGTTTTTCCATTATTGAATCTTTGGCCAGCATATTAACGCTGTATTATTAACGTGAGTCAGATGCTTACTCATTTGTGGGAGACTTTACATTTCAAAGATCTAGACTTGGCCAATTTTGCACAGATTCCTTTGGAAGCTGTGATGACAGGGTGATACAATTTGTCTATAAATAAAAGAGATTCATTTTTTTTCTTTGCAAAATAGACTCATAATTATTCTTTAAGTGAACCAAATTCTTAAATCATGGATATATATTCTGTGCTAAAATGGAGAGGTGCCACCCAAGGAGGTAGTGTCCTAAAGTGGTGAAGGGTCTGAACTTGGGTTCAGATCCCAAACCTAAATGTACTTGAGCAACTCTGAGAGAGTAAATGGTAGAGTGAATGCCTAATAAATGCTAATATTATGCTATAATTTTTAAAAACTATTAATCATATAAACTTGCACCTGAAGAAAAACTGCATTACATTCTATGACACAAATTAAGATTATGAAGGGAAAAGAAAAACATAGAGTTAAGATTGTTATGCTAATTTATCTTAGTTCATTGAAAAGAAAAGTTTGGCTAGTATTGTTTGGATTAATTAAGTGCTGGTCTGTTGTACTCTGAAAATTAATTTAAAGATAACAATATGCCATGTATTAGTCATTGTTACCCTCCTATTATCTTGTTTTGAAATGTTATATTTTCTCTTGAAATATAAAAAGAAAATTAAGATTATGACATAGCAATTCTTACTGAAATCTCTTTATTTTAACCTTCTTGTGCTCAAACTACCTAAAATTTAGACGCCTCTATGAAGGGAAGGAAGTGGAACCGTAACATTATACTTCAGGATCAAAGGGGGAGTCTGTCAGCTCATGCTGGCATTTGGCTAGTGGAAGGATCTTCCTTCAGCACAAGTGCATTCTCCCTAGAGTCAGCAGGCCAAAGCATAAATGCAGAGAAAATGGAAGAGAGTCAACCAGGCACAATAAGCGCTAAGTTAGAAAAGCAGAGGAATGTGTGACAGTTACCATAAAGGCAGAGAATGCTGGTCACCAAGGTGGCAGTGGGGAAAGCCAGGGACAAACGATTTGTATCACAGGTTTAGTACAAGCCTCAGGATATAAGAGTACCAATGACACCACACTCAAGATATTGACTGAAAGTCTGTTAAGAGACAGCTAAATGATTTGTTCTGCACAGTCCTTTGATTGTGCCTCTCCTGCTTGGCAGAAAACTTTAGATTTAGTCTCCAAAGTGGATACAACAGGATCCCAAGGAAAATGAGGGAGGGTTGAGGCTGTGAGAGCCATAGAGAAGGTAGTGATTTCACACACTGGACTTGGTACTTCTAGCTTTCTTCCTCATCCAGCAGGGTACTGGAAGACTGTCCAGTGGTTCCTTCACTGACTAAACAACTTTCTTAGAATGTTCCAGTGACTCTAGTAGAAGATTGTCCCAGCCAAGAGGCCAGTAACATTGCTCCACACTCAAATGTGCAGCACAGTTTTTGTGCCCTACTGAGTGTCAGAAAATATTTGAGGACAGTTGAGAATATGAAAGACAAATATAAAACAATCAAGAAGGTTAACTAAAGAAGAGCTGCAAGAAATAGAACTTACATAGGCAGAATTAACATTTAGAAGAAATTGTTAATATCTCAGGCATCAAAAGAGTTGGTACATTCATGAAACAAAACCAGCGTGTTATGAAAAGAGTAATCAGGACAAGAAAAGAATGACTGAAGTAGGAAAACTACAGTGTGACAGCGGGACGAGAAAAGTTAATAAATGTTTGAATGATATATCTGAAGAAAGATCTTATAAATAGAGCAAAGAGACAGAAATGGAAAATGAAAGGTTAGAAAATTAAATGGGGCCACTGATAATATCCAACATTCCAATAATTGTGCTTCTAAGTAGTAGGAAAGCAGTGCGTGATTATTCAACTGCATCTGTTTCTCTCTACCTCAGGAGTACATGTTACAGGGTTGCGTCCTACAATTTGACTCTCTCTTAAATTTATTGAAATACAATAAATATTTCATTGTAGGTTGTTCATCTGTGAGGAAGACTCTTGCACTAAACTCTATACTCTCATGAGGCAATGCAACTTCATAGCAGGAGGAAAGATGTGAAGACAGAGTTGAATCTGATGTGGGTGTGTGGGGAGGCTGGGAGTCTCTGTGTGTACATGGTCTCATTTTCATCTGCATATGGTGAGAGATTAGTAGATACCATTGAACAAGGAGACCAAGAAATAGCAAGATAAGCTTGGAACTCAGGGAAAGGGAGGTCAATACGAAGAATAAATTCAAGAGATAACAAAGGTAACTGGGAATAGACAAGTGTGCTGTCCAGGGGAGGGGGTGGGTCTGGTATCTTACACAGTAGTTTGAAATATTTTTTGTAACAAATTTTGTAGAATTACAGACCTTTTGAACTACTTGCTTAATTAGTTTTAAGAAGTGACCCAGATCATATCATAAACTTCAAAGATACTTTGTATTGACATGCTTTTTAATAAATTGTAAAACTTCATTGTCACAGACGTTGTGGGACAAAGCACAGTGAGAGAGGAAACAAAGGGCCAACCAAGGCTGCACTGTCAGTACAAGTCAGATTCTTGACTAGTGCCCATTTCTCTTGGAAACTTACACAGGACAGATTGCTCTATTAGACCTCACAGGCAGGAAGAGTGCCCAAAAGGTCTCAGCCACCAATGAAGCCAGCTCTTTCAGGGGTGGGAAACTAGGAGATATGGACTGTACTGATCCTGGTCCAGGCTGATTTCACTGATGGCATTAGGGCTTTGTCTGTAAAGACTGCATCCTAACAAAGGGTTTCTACCTAGCAACATGATGTTGGAGGTCAGATACAGCCAGGTGGATGAGTTAATTGCAATTTAGTGGCTGTTGAAGATAAATTGCCTTTATTAACCCCCTAGTTGCTTCTGAGTTGATGTACCATAGTTCAGCGGGATCCAGCTGTTGGTGAAGATAGTCCCAACCAGACATTCTGATACTGAGGAAGGAACTGGTTTGACCATAGCACCTGTCACACTGGTTCTCCCTCTGAGACCTGCCTTCACTTAAAAATACATGGATTCCTGTATGGGTTAAAGCAGAATGTACACTCACAAGGCCTGATAGTCTGAGGAAGTGATTGCAGCATCAATTCAAAGACAAAAAAACTCTAGCTTTTGAAATGTGAAAGTATAAAAATGGTACTTTGTTGGAATGTTAAAAGACATTGCTAAGGTTCAAAATTTCATCTGATAAACATTTTAGCATTTATCAAACTAAAAATGAGTTTTCATATCAAGGATCATATAAATGTTTTTTCATATAGTAAATAGGATAACAATCTTAATCATACAATTTAGCTGCAATTTATATAACTTTGAGACATCATAACATTGTGCCATTGCAATTTTGTCTTTGAAAAATGTTTTGAAACCACCTTTCTGTAGTAATCTGACTCCTTCAAACCCTAGGTAACACACCTAGATTTATAAGTGTTGCTCAATGCAAAAAAGAAAGGCTTATGCAAACCATGTAGATGCATCTTACCCCTCATGTTTATGATTATAAAAGAAGTGGTGAGGAGGATTCAAGAGGAAATAAATGAAATAAGATGCTGGTCCACTAGTACAGTGCTCATGTATGTGCACAAGAAGCTGGATTAGCAGCTAAAGAATCAGAAATAAATAGAAAACATAGTTCCATAAACTAATGTTTTTTATTTTTAATTTTAGTACATGGTCTTCAGGGTCTCACTATGTAGATCAGACTTGTAGTGACCTGCCTGTGTTCAGCCTCCCCAGCGCTGGGATTACAGGCGCACACCACCACGCCTACCCAGTCTCATTTGCTGTCTCAGCATGTCCCAGCGGCAGGGCTTGCATGGCACACCAGGAATCGAACCCTGGCCGCTGTGTCTGCATAAGCAGGTGCTTTAATCCACTGAGCTATTTGGCTGGCCCTTACTACTGGTTTTTTAAAATAAAGATTTTCTTCAATAATAATATTTGTAAGAGGTGTAATAATTTCCTTTTAAATGTTATTGTTATACTGTTGTCTATGTTACATTTACGTAGCCTAAACACTTACATCAACAAGATTTTTTCAGTCTCAGATGGTGATTAATTTTGAAACATGAAGAAATCTTAGTTTATTGCTGTTATTTTGATGCCACAGTTAATTCCTTGTATGTGTTTCTGTTGGCTTTTATTACAGGGTTGCCGTCTGCAAATCTGGCTGCACCTAATCTCACTGTGGAGGAAGGGAAGTCCATCACATTGTCCTGCAGCGTGGCAGGAGACCCACTTCCTAATATGTACTGGGACGTTGGGAATCTGGTTTCCAAGCATATGGTAAGGCTGGATTGACCTCTGACCTAGTAGACAGACAAGGAGTATTTCAATATGTGAGATTGTGTTAAATCCAGTCCTGACCAGCTCATATTTTGTAGGCTCAGTTATAAAAATTTACAAAGTATTTCTGATGCACATTTACTTTCCATTTTTTCTTAATTAGCAGGGACTAAAGCATGTTTGCATTTTAATTGTGCATACCCAATAGTTGGAGAGTCTGTAACCCTAGCGAGTTCTCTGTGTCCTCATGAGCAAAAAAACCGACTGATCTTCTTGGTCATTTCCCCTGCAGGGAGGTAGATAGGAACTCATGAATGAAGGCCATTTCACAAATTTAGGAATTAGAACATAGAGAAATTCAATAACTTGCATCAGTCTAAGCCTGATTCAGGTAGAGAAGTTTTTCTAATGTCATCTACACGTGTGCTTACGCACAGTCACACAGACACACACACAACACACAGACACACACACACACACACACAGACACACACACACACTCTTTTTTTTTTTTTCCTAACTAAGGGAAAGACTCTGAACTTTGTCACTTCAAGATTAATCCTAACTAAGGTTATTTCTGTCTGTTAATTCATAGAATGAAACAAGCCAGACCCAGGGCTCCTTGAAGATAATTAACATTTCGGCCGATGACAGTGGAAAGCAGATCTCTTGTGTGGCAGAAAACCTTGTAGGAGAAGATCAGGATTCTGTCAATCTCACTGTGCACTGTACGTAACGGCCCAGCATGTGTTTCAGTAGCAGATGATGCGAGACCTTGCCACATTTGTGGAGGATGCTCTGGGTGCCACTGGAGTGTGTTCAGAAAGCAGGTTGTGGTGTTTGGTGCCACTGAGCTAAGAAATGCCACCAGCCTCTTCCGCTGGCTCTTTCTGCTTCGTACCTCTTGCTCTCCCATTTTCTTTTGAGCTTTTTCTCTGATCCCGAGCTTATTGCTTTGTGTCCTCCCTTGTCTTTATTTGAGCTGATTGTTTTCTTTTAAATTTTGATTTTAAATACCAATAACCCAGTTTCTAAAAGCTTCTTCCTCCATAAAGCAATGTGAAACTTTCAAGTAGTAATACCAAAGCCATTTTATGGCTGTTCACAGACATTTAATTGTATATTGATACAGTGCAACTTAAGTTTGGCATTAAGTTTCTATGAGAAGGTAAGAGGTGCCATATTCAAATCACTGAGAGTTATAATCTGCAAAAAATTTATTATTGTTGTTTTAAATTTCTAGGAGTCTTGAAGCTATGATATAAGAAATCAGTGCTTTTTAGTTAAGCATAAACATGCATTGTTTTCTGGTTTTACAAAATATAATAACATATCTTCAAATACTAGATTGTGGCATTAAACAAAAATCACACAGATGCTTCATATTTTTGTTAAGACTAAAATCACAGACCATGGTCCTTGGTCACTCTCAGTGGCACTGCAATGCTTTGAGGATATTGGACTTGCAATTTCTCCTCATTTTGATCTAACCACAAGCTTGAGGTCAGTGTTATTCCCCAGCATGTGTGTCCATCTTACAGCTTTATAAGGTGCCCTTAAGTATCACCTCATTTGAAGCTTGTCTAAAGTGGTGGAATGGATAAGTGGCCTCTGGGCAAGAGGTCATAGGAGGTAAGTATGGCCCTTGCCCATTCCTCAAGCCTCACCACTGCAGGTTTGTAACCAGACCTGACTATATGTGCATCTTCACAGGCATATACCATACTCTCAGTAATGGCTGTGAAGCTCCCATCTTGTGTTTAGATTAAATTTTTGTACAGGGAATCAATCATATGTTAAAAGCTATTTTGATTTCCAAAGATTTTTTTAACAAAGGCCTTTGAGAAGTATTTGGTAAGGCCTACAATCAAACTTTGCAAATTTAGATTTTGGAATTTTACATTTTTTCAAGTGAGAGGTCCCAAAACAATGTACATTTACAGAATTAAGTAACTCTGCATGTCCAGAGGTAAAGGATTCCGCTGGTAATTTGTATTTCAGTAGATTATGACAGTTTATTAGGTTCTTTGCCAGCTTGCTTGTACTTTGGTAGAATTCTGGAATGATTTCTGTGAATACAAAGAGGGCAAAGTCAGATGATCTGCTTTCCCTTAAAGATGCTGGGACTGTCTATGTGGTCCTCAGAGTCTGAAGAGTTGAGTTCCTGTCAAAGTTTAGATAAAGAGTAGGTGGAATTAGTGATGAAGAATGTGGACAACTGAGATAGCCATTGCAAGCACCTTACTCACAGTGGTTGTGTGAGCTTCCATGATTTGCACTTGGTTCCTTTGTGTGCTAAACAGGTACACTGAAGAAACCATGAATGAAGGCTACCAGATTAGGCACAGGAGACCTGTGCCCCACCCCTATTTGGTCTCTCCCAGTAATCTTTCCTTACTGGCCTGACCTCACCAGATCTTGGCTTCTCTATGGGGCAAATAATCTATTAGGTCTTGTTTTAGTTACTTTGTTTTTTTGCTGAGTCAAAATACCTAAGACCCAGAGTTAGAGGAGGCAAGTTATTTGTAGCTCACAGTGTTTAAAGTTTTCAGCCCATCATTGGCTGGCTCAAAGGCAGCTTGGCATGGCAGAAGGGCATCCCAGAGGAGAAAGCATTCATGGCAGGCAGAAGGCGGCAACGCAGTAGAATAGCAAGTAGCAAGCAGCCTTCTTTTTGTCCCTTACATTCTCTCCAGGCTACACACCCTGAGGGTGGGTAGTACTCATACCTGGGGTGAATCTCCCCATTATCCCCACTCAGAACTATGCCAGGCCAATCCATGGACTAATTTAATGATCACATTTCTTTGATTCCAGCATCCAGATCCACCCACCTCTAAAAAGCTCCTTCTATGACCACATGAGATTTTATAGGGACATCTGGTTTCAAAGTTCTTTAAGTAATAATGACAAAGCTAGACCACATTAAGATGAACAATTTTAAAATACCCTCGGGATAGCTATTCTGTTAAAAAATACTAGTTGATAATGGTTGTCTTTCAAAAGCATGAAGTACTATATGCTTAAAGTTGAAATAATCTCCAGTCTATATTTTAAAACTGTACCTTAGACATTTAAAGAATCAAAACAATTGACATCTAGAATTTAGCAAAAATTGAATCCACTAGGACAGGCGATATAGCTCAGTGGCATAAGCAGCTGCCTGGCAAGTGCAAGGCTCTGCCTAGCAAGCACAAGGCCCTGAGTTTGATCCCCAGTACAAACAAATAAACAAACAAAAGCAAAGGGACCTACTATTTATTATCTATTCCCTTTTATTTTATTTTATTTTTAAATTTTTGAAACAAGGTCTCACTATTAGGTTCAGGCTGGCCTTGAATTCACTTTGTAGCTCAGGCTGGCCTTGTACTCATGGACCCTCCTGCCTCAGCCTCCCGAGTTCTGGGATTACAGGCATACACAATTATGCCTGGAAAGTCAGTGCTGTTTGTAAAATAAGTGTTTGTAATTGACAATCAGTGAAAAAATATCAAGGTTTCCTACTTTATGATACTCAATAGCATCAGTATCAGCATTCATTGTTTTGATCGATTTGATTTGTTTTAAAAGTTATGTGAAGGCTAGCAATGATATAGCTCAGTGGCACAATGCCTGCCTGGAAAGTGTGAGGTCCTGAGTTTCATTTCCAGAGCCAAAAAAGTCCAACCAACCAACCAACCAACCAACCAACCAACCAACCAAAAAAACCAATAAAATTTCAGGGTCATCTTTGTTGTTATTTGGATCACTGAGGGGAGGAGCCTAAGGGATTATTGTTGTTATGAAAGTAGTGCCTGTTTCTGTGCTTGATGGAAAACTTGTATAATATCAAGGACTGTATATTAGAAACCAAAGTAAATGCTGCATGAGCCCTTTCTACTCTCAGAAATCTCTTAGAACTATTGGGCTTGTTCTTACCTGCACAGAAGGGCTTTGAAAGGGGCTGCAGTGTGTAGGTCTTAAACTGAGAAGAGCAAAAAGTCTTTCTAAAGCTCCCTGTAGGAAGTTGACTCAACCTCTGCAATGATAAGGAACAAAACTATAGTGGATTCCTGAGTTATTGGTTATGTGTTTCCTCAAGTCCAACAAAGCAAACATCCAAAATGGTTGAATGATGTCCCTTATCAATGACACAGGAATCTGGAGACTGGAATAATTCTGAGCTTTCTGATGCTATTAACTCTCTCTTTTTCAATTTAGTTGCACCAACTATCACATTTCTCGAGTCTCCAACCTCAGACCACCACTGGTGCATCCCATTCACTGTGAAAGGCAACCCCAAACCAGCGCTTCAGTGGTTCTACAATGGGGCAATACTGAATGAGTCCAAATACATCTGCACTAAAATTCACGTTAGCAATCACACGGAGTACCATGGCTGCCTCCAGCTGGACAACCCTACCCACATGAACAACGGGGACTACACCCTGATCGCCCAAAATGAGTACGGGAAAGATGAGAGACAGATCTCTGCCCACTTCATGGGCTGGCCTGGGGACATCGATGGTGAGTATCTGAAGCTTTTGCACTTGAGGAGGGAGCAGGGCCTGTCACTTCACCTTGACAAAATCCTGCACAATAAAACCAGCCTCAGGCCTAGTGGTTTAAAGCATGGGGATTTAGTCTTGACTATAGGTCTGCACTCAGCTGAAGTGGTTTTACTCCACATGTGTTGATGCTGGAGTGCAGGGGAGAAATGGCAGCTACACTGGAGACCTGCTTCGCAAGGCAAACAAGAAGCATAGGAGGACAACTGGAAATGTGCAAGGTTCTGAAAGGTCTGGGTTCCAGCGTGGAACCCTGCTTCTCAGCTTGTAGGCCAGGGGTGAAAGCAAAGTCCCAGGCTAAAGCCACATCGAGTGGCAGGGATTTGTGCTGCTCTGAGGGGGTGATAGGAAAACAAATCATCTTGAATTTGATCCAATATATACAGGATTACTAATTAGTGTATCTGAGAGTTCATGAGAAAAATGTTATTATTGTCTCTAATGAGATTTTTAAACCCATAATGGTGAAATCTATGCAAAACACAAGCAGGTAAACTATTTTTCTAGCTCATGAAATATTTAAGATGATTTTCTTACATTTTACACTTGCAGTGTAGAATCCTGCATTCTCACCCACAGTCAGAATCCAGCATCATGGACTGTTTTGCCAACTTGGCCTGCCTGAGCCAAACCACCCATTTATTAGTTCCTGACTTGGGTTTTGGGAGTGGGTTTTTGCAGTAGTGGTTTGCACTGGGGGAAGGGTTCCTGGCATCTGGGATCCTCTCTGGAGCCAGCCTTTGTTGTGCAGGGGTAAAACTCACCACAAGAGCTGTGAGGTAGTGTCACAGGGAGATGACCTGGCGGAAGTACCTATTTGCAGATCTAAATTGAGGGGCTGCCTGTACCACCTGTTGGTTCACTGGGCAGTGCTGGGGACAGAGGACAGCCCTGTAGAGCCACCTTGGCCAAACAGTAAATAAGAACAAAATCACTCTCATTACCCTGTATTTGCTAACCATCTTTTAAAATGCACAAGCTTCCTTCAAAATGTGATTTGGATTATGTAAGCCTGACCTACCAGTGGTCTTTCAGGAGTACATGAAGCAGCACATGTTTGAATGCCATGTCCACACATCATGGCTGTCACGTTCTCCGTGAAGTCTTCCTACCTGAGTGTAGCTGCCCTGCTGTGTGTACGTAGTAAATCGCTGACTGTGCTTTCTCCTATGTGTTTCTGGGAAACACAGCTCCACAATTCAGGAGACTGAGGACTCTGATTTAGGGCAACTCTGATTTGTTCTTAATACATTTATTTGTAATTTTAAATTTGTAGAAAAATTTTAAAGACAATCCAGACAGTTTCCTGAGACCAGGGCCAGTGCCTCCCCTCACTCATGTCTGACATTCCAGTAGTGCCAGAGTTGACAAGCTTAATTGTAGTGTGACAAATTCTGCAACAGAATCATGGAAAGGATTGAGTTTGTGAACTGAGGAATCATGGTGCATTTGTCCCCATGAGGAAACTGACACTGGGACATTGCTGTTCCCTCAGCTTAAGGCATAATTTGAATTTTAACCACGATGGTCTTTAGAAACTGTTGGTGGTGAAGCTTGGTTTGAAGGGAAGGTCTGGCGTTTAAAAGCCATCAGAAGCAGGGCTGCATCTTTTGATATCTGAACAGTGTAAAGTCAATGGCTTCTATTTTAGGTGGAATTTTGATCTATTTTCTTTGAATGCTTCTGTATGATGCTAACATTTGGTAGAGCTGAACCTTTCATATTCGTGTGACCTCATTTTTTCTTATTATTTCTTTTAGTTTTGACCTAACTAGTGTGGGAAAGAATTGTTTTCTGGCATAACAATAAGTTCAAGTCTCTCAAGTATTTTGAGGAAATAATTAGCTATAAAAAATAAAAGTTAAGCACTTACAGAGTACTGATTTTCCCTTTTATTTATTCAAGGACCATCTATGAAGGAGTAATAAATGAAGGTGGGAGGGGCAGAGACTTGGCCTAGGGTGAGAGTGGATATAAATGGGCCTCGTGGGTCATAAGCCAGTGGGAGCAATTAGAGATTGTGGTACAGAATCTTTGTGGATATTTCTGAGAGTCATAGTACTCAGACAATGACCTTTCTTAGAATTGTTTCCTTTGCTTCTTAACCTCCCTTAAAACTAAAGAAAAATAAACAAATTGAAAAAATACTTCCCTGATGGAACATTCCATGGTAAGGACAATAGGTCACGTTTGCCTTCAGATTCTTTCAGTATTTCTGCTCTCATCATACAGTAATCGATGAAGGCTAGCTCTCAAAAATTTTTTTGAGACATTTCATCTACTATCCATTTACCTCCAGTGTTTTTGATGAGATTCATTTATTTTGTACTTATTTTTTTCATATTGGAAGTTTCCTGTCTTAAAAAAAAAACAGGCAGCCTGGGCTCACCATGAAGCTAGCTGCCTGTCTCTTCAGAGCTAGAAGAATTAGGGTGCTAGTCCTAGTACCCCGAGAGGGTATGCTGTTCATTTAGCTTAGGTCAGTGATGGCAGTGAATCTTTAAGGGATTTCAAATTTATGTATTTTGTACAGGGTACCACTTTGCATCTTGGACTTGTAGCTATCCTTCTGTTTTCAGCTTCCTCAGTGCTGGGATTATAGGTGTGCGCCACCACACCCAGACTTGATTGCTGGCTCAGCACAGCATGCAGGACTGGGGATCAAACCCTGGTCCTTGTGCTTGCCTAAGCAGGCACTCAGTCTGTTGAGCTACCTTTCTTTTCTTTTCCTTTTTTTAAAAATTAATTTTATTGAGAAACAAATAGTAATGAGACAGTTTCAAAACCGATTAGTAGGACAGTTTCAATAATTAATACATTGCATATTGTTGTCTTCATAATGGTTTTTTATAGTACAAGATGCAGACATGATAACATGTCTGAACACTATTTGTACAAATCTTTCTTCTCATTGAATTAAGAGAAAGAAGGTATGTATCTATCTTAATTATTTTGTATATGCAGATACAAAATGGTCCTTCATTTGTATCCCCATTTTTTTGTTTAGTTTTGTCAGATATGGGTATGCCATTGCTATTTAAATATTGTAGGTGCATGAATTCAGCAAAATAATCCAGTATAGTCCAGTAGTCCATGGTAGTAGTGGGTTATCTGTAGGACTGGCAATGTCAGGGGTTGTTGACTTGAGCCTTTTACAGCTCATCACAGTAATATGGCCTTACTTTTTACACTTCATTTTTATACTTTTTTGCCAGATGGTTAAGATCAAGGTAAAGCAAGACCTGTATAACAAGAAATGTAACTTTTGTATCTGACAAGGTCAATCAAATCTCGTGAGGATTTATCCTGACGCCCTGTACCGTATTTTGAGCTACCTCACTGGTTCTAAGAGATTTCCAATGATAACAAACAGCTGGCTGTGGCATGAGTGCCATAGGGTTGCCTCCACTGGTGTAGATGGTCCCTTTGCTTTGGAATGCATTTTTGAAGCAAGGAAATGAAAAGTGTTGAAAGAGATCAAAATATTAAGTCAAACAAAGAAAAAGTCCCTAGGACAAAAACTGGTGAGCATGGAAGAGCCTGGACTCACTGGATTTCATGACATCATGGGGTCCTTGCTCTTGGGTGGTCTGGAAACACTGTGTGGTGGTAGCCACTGTGTGCCCCCCTTGGAGAAAGGATGGGCCAGCTGGCCATGGAGGCAGCATCAGCCTGGTCTGTGGTGCCTGTCCCAGGATGTGAGACAGGCTTTTTGGCCAGAGGCAGCAAGGAAAGGTCCCTGCAGGACATCTGTGCATGTCCTGGGCGGTTCACCAGGGGTCAGTATGGAAAGCCCGGTCGTGCAATCTTAGGATGTGGGCTGAAGCCAGTGCGGTCTCCGTCTGTCAGCACTGAGAGGCTGGCTCCTTCCTGAGGACTGGCTCTTCAGGCGCCTTACATTGCGCAGATCACTTTGGGCCTCTTTTCAGACCTGGAATCTAGTCTGGTCAGTTTAGGGCTGTGTTTAAGGAACAAAAAGACAATTTTCAGCCTCCAAATGAATTCTGGGAAACTGTGGTGCCTGCTGAAGAGCACAGCCTGTGACAGACATACCAGTATTATTATTTTTTGGTTTTTATTGTCCCTGTAAAATTGATTCATTAGAGTAGTCTTTCTTGGCTTTCAGCATGGCAGTACCCTCCCATCCCTTGTTGCACATTAGAAGAAACTAAGAATTTTTCATTATCTCACTTTTTAATACACATTCCCGGGATTTACCTTTAACAAGTTGGGTTCAGTGACTCCCAGATTGGACTTGGCAGTTTTAAAATTTTTAGGACACTCCATTAATAACCAGTGAAGATGTTACCGGTGTTGGGGAGATCTCTGAGCCACCCAAGATTGTTCTGGTCACAATTAACAGTTAAGCTTTTGTTGTTTTCGGGTGCAGACACATTCTCACCTGAGAACTACCATGTCCCACTTGAGGTCAAAATCGAAACCCTGGACTTGATCTCATGGCCAGCTGCCTCTTCTTTCCACCTTGAAGCTGGAGGGATAGGCAGGGGGTGCAGTCTCTGTGGTGCCAGTCCTTCTGCTGTATAGGTGGAAGGTGAGGGTGTGGCTTGCCAGGAAAGTTGGCTGTTGGTTTTGTGCTTGGGGCCTGGGAATATTCTGTACTATAAGGGGACTTTCTTCCTGGAAGGTGTGTGGGTCTTAGAGAGTCTGCTCTCTGCTGTTCCCCTGAGGTGAGCAAAGGCATCTTAATCTCACCTGCTGGAAGTACAGTAATATCTCGGTTCATCAACTTAGTTTTCTCCCCAATTCTGCTCACAAACTAAATTGGATGAACCATTGAATTTGATTTGTTTGTCATCCAACTAAATATGTGACCAGAATCATTGAAAAAAATCCAGTTGGTGAACTGAGGTATCTCTGCAATTCCTTCTTCTAGGAGGGGGCTCTGTGTTTTGTGGGCTGTTCTGCTGCTCCAGGTGGCCCAGCCCCAGGGCAGACCTG